ATTGGACGAGCAAGACATGGACTGCTACCAGTGGGTCCTTATCGGGACCCCCAACCCGTATGAAACCCATATTATGGTGTTTGCTGTACAGGTTATTCAGCTCTAGGCACCATGTCAACACAGAATCAAGCATGTCCTTGTACACAGTAAGCATGGTCTCGCGCGATGCGTGGCTACCAGACCAATGTCTGGCTATGTCCAGCAGTTCGGACAAGCTCAGCTTGTCTTCCAGCGACGAGACGCAGAAACGTGATCCAGTGTGAAGAGAGAGCATCTGTGCGCAGGAAGAACACTTCCACCTAAACATATCAAGATACCCATTCACCAAGTTCAACTCACATCTCACATTGCAATTCGGACAATCGACACTATGTGGAAGCAGTATTTTTTATCTTGAAGATACGATATAAGCGACTTTTCTCTTTCCATTAGGTACGCCGTTATTCCATCGGTCATTATCAAAGGGTTGATACTGGATACTCGTTCACCTTGAGCATGTATAGGTTAAGTATTACGGTTGGGTCCCGAGGTGAACCTGCAAACGCTCATTTGCCCTTGATACTTCACGTTGTTTTTAAGGGGGCAGCCTACCCATAAATTTCATATGGCATTCAATTGACCGTAACTTTAGTGTTTCTCAGTGGATTTGAGTTAAAATTTGACCACACACTCCTACCACTATGCTGGCCCTCAGCACTTGATTTACAAGTTCTTGCGCCTCACTGACAGGCTTTCCAGGCCGGAAAACTCAAATTTCCGGCATAGTACCACGGTGTGCGAGCCACCCAGGAGCCAAACAAATGCATTTACAATTTTTTCACATTTTCGTGCTCATTTTGTCCGTGCGCGGGACCCAAACCTAAAACAAGTCCAGAAACAGCCATGGGTGGTGGGGTAGGGCCCCTCAACGTGGCCCTGGAATCTGTCACAACGGAACGAGTGGGCGTTCTCTCACAGACTCCCACAGACCCAAGTCAATTTTTGAATTTTTTTAGGTTTGGCACGTGCTACGAGGTCGTACCTTTGATACAACATCCAGTGCTGGGACCTCCACAGCAAGCCATTTCCACAGCGCTGCACACCAAATCCAGGATGCCCTCAGAAACTGGCAAAGACTACCACTCACGTTTCACTGCTGCCTAGTACTGAATCCTACCTGACTTCTTGACACGACTCAAACTTGCCAAAGTCACTTAATCAACGTCAACTACAATAATCAAGCCACATATCTGCAACGTCACGAGGGTGCTGGCAAAAGTCCTGCTGCACGGCGGAGGGCTTCGCCCGCCGCCGTGCAGCCCAATACGTGGTTTTTAACGTGATTTTTGGACTTTTTTGGACTTGGGGCAAAATTCAGCACACTTTCGCGTGTTTCCATGATACGACAAGTTGCGCACGGTCTGCTCACATTCAAATACAGTGCTGCCAACAAATGACAGCGTGCAACAAAAAATCTTTCCTTGCAAGGGCACATTTTCGGCCATAACTCTTGAACGGCTGGTCAGATAGGGACACAATTTTCAGAGAATTTGCAGCTGTTCATGCTCCTTCAACTGACGTAGCACTCAATATGAATTTACAAATTCGATTTTTCAGCAAATTGTTGGGTAGTCTGCCACTTAATACACGCTTTCGTCTGCCCATGTGACATACCGCTAGTTGTCTCGGGTACGTTACCTTTTCCAATGCTGTGCTCTGGAGGGGACATGTCCAAACTACTGCGTCTTTTCAGGCTAGATGACATTTCGAGATCGATATGTGGCTTTCGAGTTGAGGGACATGGTCGCTCCGGCACTGCTAGGCTCGGTCCGTGTGTGTGAAGTCCGCTGTCTCCGGGACTTGAAACGCCTACATCTTGCTGGTCCTTTATGTCTTTCCTGACATCTTACTCACAGCCGCCATCTTGAGATTCATAGATATTCGAACCGGCTACAGGTGTCTCATGCTTCTCAGCCGACATTGCGTAAAGACAGTTATACCCGCTACACTATAAGACAATAAGACCAGTTATGGGAGACTTGCAAGCTAGTATCAAGACAACAATGCTTCATTAAGTGCGCGCTACATCTCTCCTTTTCTCAAATGCCTCAATTGAAATGCACACCGCAAAGAAAACCATTGTTATAACATGACAAGCGCCAGGCATCTGCCGATATTATTCGTAGACACATTTCGAACTCCTAACTACGAGTCTTTGCGCCTTAGGTTTAGACATGTAAGCCATCCGGCATCACGTGATGTCTCTCAGCCATCATAGTGCGACACTTCGTAGGATCTTTCAAAGTTATCGACTGGCCTAGGACGAGAACACTTCTCTTGTGATGTTAATATCGCGTGGATACGTTCAAGGATATGGTCACAATGCATACGTGCTAGTGTAATACACAGCATTGCACACACTTGCCCAGTGCGAGAGTTATGCACACACACACACACACACGCGCGCGCGCGCGCCCACGCACACACACACACACACACACACACATACTCTCTCTCTCCCTCTCTTTCTCTCTCTCTCTCTATCTATCTATCTCTCTCTCTCTCTATCTCTCTCTCTCTCTCTCTCTCTCTCTCTCTCTCTCTCTCTCTCTCTCTCTCTCTCTCTCTCTCTATCTCTATCTATCTATCTATCTATCTATCTATCTATCTCTCTCTTGCCATAGAAGTTATGCGAGTATCTCATCAGTTGAGATGTAGATACTGTCTATGGAGAGTCGGTGATCAGGTGATATCCTGTCAAGCATATCACTGGCTTGTCACTTTTAACTACGTGAATCAGAATAGGCGGCGATCGCAAGCAGTGGTGTGAAATGGGCATACGGATTTGGTACACCGGATAGATCAATATCATTAACTGAACAGCAGCTTTTAGAGTTGTTTTACATTACTTCACACATTGGATGGGCAAGAAGGCAAAACTACCATTACAACTTTTGGCAAGAGTAAATTGGCTCCCAGCAGATTACATACTCTTGCAAACAATAAGACTCAGAGGACGGAAAGCGTTTTTTGTTTTTTTACGCTGAGTTTCACGCACCAAGCGATCATCAGAAAACATTTAGACTTTCATTTACACTTTGCTTTGTGGGTACTTCGAAGTATATGTATAATTATAATAATTATTATGGCATGCTTTGTCGGGCAATAATGGATTTCAGTGCCCTCCAAGTGAGCCCTCGGAAAAACGGCCCTCGGGATCACTTCATTGCCCGACCAACCATGCCATAATGGATTTATCACTTTCAGCTAGGGTCCGGCGGATTCTGACGGCAGAAAAATGGCAGAATTCGGTACTTTTTCTGGTAAGTTTCATGCATGTTTGGTATGTGGATAAAGAAATGCAGCAGAATTCGAGGAATTGCCCGCCATAAGGTTTGTGTGGTTCTGCCAATTTCACTGCTTTTCGAGCACATTCAGCATGGTAGCATCCCCTAGATTTCACGCGTCCAGTCTCACTCTCAGGGTTGCTCCGGACGATGGGCTTTGGACGCGGGCGTTGGACTGATTTATTGCGCGCGCATACAGATCAGTGATTGGCCCGATCCTAGGAAACACTCACGTGACATGTGATAAAACCCAGTACTGATCCAGATTTACTCATTACTGTTTTCTGATAGTTAAAGTCTCTTGTGCGGACAAAATGAATTGCACATGCCATCAAACAAATTCAAAATTCAATAAACTACTTTGAAATACAAAACTCTATTTTGACAAATGCTAGTAAACCAATTGGAACACAAAATAACAACATACCACATAACAAGCAGTTACCAGCTCCAAGGGAGATGGTGGTACGAACATAAGAATACATGTAGCATGAAAACAGCACAAGGTTTATTGTGTTAAGCTGTGTTCACAACTGGCGCGTGTACGCGTGAAACCACGCGTTTGTGCGTATTTTTGCTGGCTTTTGGGGCGCCATGCGTACGGAAACGCGCCGAAATGGAAATTCCAACATCTTGGAATTTTCAGCGCGTACCAGCGTACATGCCAGTCACTTTCACTGGTGGGGTCAACAAATTAGTACTCGAAGGTGTCGCACGCGCTGAATACGACTCGAATTGCTGTTTTCTGTGAAAGCCTGAACGCGCGTTTGGGCACGCATGAACCGCAAGCATACCGCGTCCACGCGCCAGTTGTGAACACAGCTTTAGTCTTGAAAAAAGGTGAACAAATAAATCAACATTTTCAAGATGACTTTTAGCGGTCATATCTTCGAATTGTGCAGCTCTTCTTCATCCATATGCATGTTCATGTGCAATGCACTAAATATGCATGTAACATTAGTCTATCCAAACCAAGCCCCACATACTGGTGCAGCCAGATTTTTTCTCTGCATGTCGAATCATGGTATGTGACCTTTTGCTCTTTAATGACCATTATTTAACGTACACAAACAACACACAAATTCTCCACCACTGGAATTCCTGATTTTCGTATCTAGCTCTCGTCATGTATTCTGTTTCTCCTGGTGGTTTTACCTGTAGTTTTCCCTGAGCAGTGTTTCTGCTAAGTACTATTTTCCCTTCTCCCTTTTCACTTCCCTTTCGTCTCATCCACCCTTCCAGGAAACTCCCCCGATAAGGATCCATTTACTTTTGAAGAATCCTTCAAATAAAGTCTAAATGAAAATGAAATAGATGAAAATGACAGGCGTGTGGTTTGTCGGTATAATTGTGTCTAGTCTACATGTACGTGTACATGTACAAATATGACACAGCAATGAATCAAACAAGTCTCTTTCCGCTGTTACTCCGAGTTTCGTGTCAAAACACTTCATCAGACAGATACTTGTTTGATTCATTGCTGTGTAATATTTGTATTACTGGCTCTGTCCACAGGACATTAAGCGCTGTAAGCAGCCTAGGGACTTTAGACAACTGTACATGCAGTACACGTGCACACACCTTCTTCTAGTCTGTCTCATTTTGCCCCGAGATGTTTTGATGCATAGTGATTATGACGCTCATCATTCGCACCCTTGTCACTGGACAGCTTAGTCGGTTTGGTTTTAGCGAATTCAAAATAAAGAAAACAACAAAGAACAACACCAGGCACAGGGAAGGGCAAAGCAAGCTAGCTGAGGGTCTTCACGTGAGTGACGTCATGTGAGTGACGTCACTTGACATGAGTGACCATGTTGTCCTAACGCATGTGAGCTGGATGTAGTGAAAATGGCCTAGGCTTGTCTAACAAAGTAAATGGAAGGTAAAGCCATCGATTGTTTCTACGAAATGCACTTCCTGCAAAGTACACCGAAGAGACCATTGATAACTAGTACATATCAAGCAGTTACCAGCTCCAAGATGGATGGTGGTACGAGCATAAGAATAGCATGAAAACAGCACAAGGTTTTTTTGTGTTAGTCTTGAAAAAATGAACAAAGATAGGGTGCATGTACATGTATGGTCTCTGGACCATCACACATGAAATGTAGCAAGCAATGGCGGCAATGGGCAGGCGGTGGCTAGCGAGTGCACACGGAGCAGGTAATCTCCTTGGGCTCAACGTAGACACTAGGCAGACCATAGGGGTGGTCAATTTGTACTGGGGATATGCGGTGACCTGGAGTACCGGACGGGCCCAGCCCTTCAGCAGCATCATCAAAGCATAGATATTCTCCACGAAAATCGCTGTTGTATGGTGAGCCCATCATGTAGCCATGATACTCGAGATGCCATTCTTCCGGACAGTCGTTCCTGGCTGGGATCATAACTGTACTGCTTCTGTTCGTGGCCAGACACACAGTGCAAGGAACTGTTTTACCCTCCAGTGACGCTCCAGTGTACGGTTGTGATTGCCCAGAAAGATGATACGTGACACCGTAGATGGGAGAACCCCATTGGTGGGATGCGCTGCGTCCATACAAGGGTTCCCGATGAAGGCAGAGGATGTTAGCTCCACCGCCTTTGTGTCCATAGTCAGAACCTGCCGAGTATCCCGTGTATACTCGCTCAGTGCCGTCGGGACAGTCTTGTCTCCCCCAGCGTGTGTATGCTGTACAGAGGCACAACCAAGAACACAGGTCAAACGCGCGAGGCAAAAAATCTACTGTTAACGGAAGCAAACACATGTTAGATACCAAGATTCCGGAGTATAAGCCACACTTTGAGTATTCAAAATTCACCCCAGAAAAGGGGTGTGTCATGTACATGTACTCCGATGACAAAACTAACGGTGACAAGTAGGGTATAATTATGTCTGTGTTTCGTGGCAAAATAATTGGGGGGGGGGGGGGGGGGGGGGTGCGGCTTACTGGTATAATCCAGTGCGGCTTTTACTCCTGCGTGGCTTTAATATACCCCAGTGTGGCTTTAATATACTCCTGCGTGGCTTGTACATCAAAAATCACTGCAGACTTTCCAATACACATTCACTGCACTGAGATGCTGGATCGCTTGACAGCAGGGTTTCTGTCAATTTCCAAGGACTATGTAGTAGACAGACTTTCTAGTCGTGTACTACAGACTATGATGCCAAGAAAGCCTTGAGGGTGCGTGAGACTGGGTGGGTAGGTGCATGGGTGCATGGGAGAGAGGGGGGGTTGTGCAGGTACATTGTATATGTCCAGGTACGTGGAGTTTGGGAGAATATGTTTAATTTAACTTAAAGGAGATTGATTGATTTGAAATGGATTCTTTCAAAAGCAAATATATAATTTGTTGTTCCCTATCAACTGTAACGTTTGTTTGAACCCAACGCTATGAACCAGAGTCATGTTCGTATGTGCACGAGTGTGTGTGTGTGTGTGTGTGTGTGTGTGTGCGTGTGTGTGTGTGTGCGTGTGTGCATGCGTAATCTTTGCGTGTGTATATGTATGTGAATGTATGTGCATTGGTGTGCGTGCGTGTATGCATGTGAGTGTATGTGTGTGCATGTATTTAAATGTGCGTGTGGGTGTGTATATGTGTATGTGTGTGTGTGTGTATGTGTGTGTGTGTTGGCATCCGCATGTGTGTGTGTATGTGTCCTTACTTGTTCCACGACTGCTTTCAAATGTGCTGCGGGATATCCATTCTGCAGATAGCAAAGCACAGAGAGAGATAATCAGTAGACTTCAGTCGCGCAAACAATATCTAATGCGGGTTACACACTAGGCCGACTTTTCGGCCGACATGAAAACGGACGAAAAATCGTCAAAATTGGCGCGAAAAGAAGTCTGGTGTGAACAGAGTTGTCGTAAAAATGTTCCAACAAATCTGTTTAGTCCTTTTGTTGTACAATTTTTCGGCCAAGTATCCACTGGTCGATAATTGGCCGTAAAGTCGAACGAGATTTAGTGCTTGCATGTTGTGGAGCAAGCCTCCGACCAGTCACTGACGGCTTTTCACCAAGACAGAAAAGAGTGCAGAACGTGCACTGGCCAAACAGGATCAATACGAGACAATAGCCTTTGCTCGCCCTTACTCCTAGACTAGTAACTTATCTGAAAATGATCTCAATTCCGCTATCTGGCCTCTACAATCCAGCGTGGTCGTGTACCACATGTACGCGTGTGCACTGACCATCCCTACGCCATCATCACTGGCGTTGGGTTTAAACAAGCAGTCCCACTCGTCCAACACAGGCGACCAATTTTGTGAGCATCCGCCGAAAAAATCGGCCTAGTGGGAAACCCAGCAAAACAGTGAGATCACGATGGTGTCACAGCAAGGAAGGCATGTAGAAGCTTCATGCTAGCGCCATGGAATGTAGAGGTAGTAGAATGACATCATACATGTACATGCGTTATATGCATGGGGGCATGGAGCGCTTTAGCGCAGGCTCGCATCTAGAAGGGATGATTTTTGAGTTCCTTTTTAAAACAATAATTTCTTTACACTTTCCTAGACTTTTCTTGAAGTTCCCTGGGAACACTGGTGCAGCTGAACTGTGCTTTTATGTGATGATGGCACCCCCTTTTAAACTAAACCCTCAGCATTGTACCCGTGTCTGATATTGTATCTTGTGTCAGCAGCACTTGAGGTGATCACGTGACTTGCCAACGAATCGTCATCCACACAGTTCTTCTGCATGGTGTGTTTTTTTGTTTTTGCTTTTTTTAAGCTCTTTTTACTTCAAAAACACTGCCCCGCTTGGAGAGGGAAAATGGGAGAACCCGAAACTAACAAGAAAGAACAATGGAAGGGTGGTTGCTACAGAGTAGCCGTGATGGTGAGTCTGGAGGCACTCCACTAACCAGTGGTCTCAGTATCAGCATGTCACCACAGCACCATTTGTGGACTTCGAAATACATACATGTACAATGTAGGTCAGCTTACTGTTCTCGCAGTTGAGACCATCGTAGCCCAGGTGACAGAAGCACGTATAGGCATTGACTGCATCTCGACATGTCCCCTCATGCTGACACGGGCTGCTCTCACACTCGTCCATATCTGCATGAGACCGTCACCGAATACACAGCACAATCACACACATGTACAATGAACATGATGCACACACAGCACAGTAATATCTACGCTGCACATACTACTTGGGCTGTGAGGTGAGAAAACAGTCATTATCCCAAACACTGTCAAGGGCAGAAAAATGCACTTGAAAGTAGGCAAGTTTACGCATAATATTTATTTATAATTTATTATTGAAAAAAGGACCAAGAAACTACAAGTTACGCTATACTGTCCACTAATACCACCAGTTTCTAAACAATCAGCTCATGCGATAACATTGCACGGCACTGACCGACAGTACTGACGTTCTACAACTAACTGGCTAACAGCTCCTAAGTAGAGTAGTATCTTGGTCCTTTTTCTTCATTAAAAATTTATCCTTGGCTCTCCATCCGAGCCCTTAATTTATTATTATTTTAATTTTGGTATATTTGTATGCATGATGATTCACTGCAACAAGATCTACACTAGTCATTCTACTATCTGCCATGCTGTCTCGAGGGACACGCTCATTTGTGTAGATCATTGGAGTTTTATGTTGGTGACTCAGTTCTATCATACACATACACACACAGGTACACACACACATACTGTAAAGTCGCGGATAAAAGCCGGGCTTATAAGCATATAAGCCGCTTTCTGCTTCAGGCCTTAATGCAAACCAGGCTTGTATGCACAGCATGCTTCTATGCACCACTAATATTTTTGCCAGGCTTGTATGCGCGTAGATCTACCACTGACTACCGGTATGGCGGCAGTTTTACTATGCACTGTAGAGGAGACGGCTCGATACCAGGACGTTTTGACAGCCAAATTTGTATAGACCCAAACCGATCATCAGCGTTGATTTTTCACTCGAAATATGTTTGTGGAAGGAAACTGGCATGTTGAAGTTTGCTCTGGGGCCAGAGTCAATCGAACTGAGCCACTCCTTTGTGTTGACCCATTGCCTCCAAGTTGCCCAATTTTTCGCTTCAAAAAAGTTCAAATCAGAGGTGGCTCCAAACCGGACACGTTTTAGAGTGCACGTCAAATTCACTCTGGGTCTGAAATTAGGTAATTGCTATCGCTCTACGACGGCCAGTACAGAGTAACAATAAGCCTTGTGTGTGCTTCCATTAGTTTTGATTGGTATGCGGTGCTTTATTGGCGAGAGGCGAGCCGCTGTTTACCTGCGACAAGAAGTTGATTTTTCGAAAGTCGTAAAACTCAAGTCGCAGTGCAAAGCAACACGTCAAAAACTCACCTGCTTGATATGGCGCTTCCGGTCATCGCAGAGCCATGAAATTTTGGCTCGGAGTATAACACATAGTAGTCTCACTGTGACATATGTTTTCTAATCAAAATACCAAGAGAGAAAGTGAATATTGAGTCCGTTCTGTCCTATTTGAAACCGTCCCCTCTACATAGCGCATGCACACTTGACCTACCCGATCCGCGCTTGCATAGAAGCCAGGCTTCTACGCGCGACAGGCTTATATGCATTTGACCCGTTTGATTTTCAGGCTTCTATCCGCGATGTGCTTGCATGCAAACCCGGCTTTTATCCTCGACTTCACGGTATATTATACACACACACACACACACACACATACACTTCCACTCATGCA